CCACCGGCCCCGCTGACCATTGGCCCTGCAGCCCACCGGCCCCGCTGACCATTGGCCCCGCTGACCATTGGCCCTGCAGCCCACCGGCCCCGCTGACCACCAGCCCCAGCTTCTTTCATCTCAGAACTTTTCCTTCAGACCTGAGAATGTTCTGGATTCAAACATAGAAAGAAAAGATCAGAACGCTTGGAGAAAAGACATCTGAATTCTGATCTCAGTTTGGCCACTGTGTGGTCTGGGGCAAGCTCACAAACAAGCATCAGTATACTCTGTAAAATAAAGCCATTTACTCTTACTGCCTCCCTCCTGGAGCTGCTCTCAGTAACCAAAGAGACAATGAGAGATTTGTATACAGCAACAAAGATTCAAAAGGTTGATAATGCATAGGTTCAAGGTTATGGGCAGACCAACCATTAAAGGAACTGGGAGTAGAAAGATAACCCCTACCCATCCTTGGATATTACTGTGACATACTGTGTTGACTTTTATTTCCACATTGATCGTATGTGGCATCATCATCATCTTCATCGTTGTTGTCGTCGTCATGCGAATCTTAAAGATAAAGAGAGATTCAGAGACATTAAATTGCTCAGTCAAGATGGTACAGTTGGATGGGGCAAAGTTCAGCCAAGAAGTGCTTTCCTAGCATAGGGTATAGCCCTCCCTGGGTTGTAACCCTAGCACAGAGGTTTGAACCCAGAACCCAAAAGAGAAATGACTGTGATGAGTTGGAATTAACTCAAGCTAACACGTGTGGAACAGAAGAGAGAGACCTTTGTTTGTTTATTTGTTCACAAAAAGAAACATAGTGTCTTCTGTGTTTCCTCTCTAAACCAGCTGCGGATCCCCTTGGGAGATTAAATCAGTATGTATTAAATCATGATGTATTCCTTCAGGGCTGAATCTCTTGTCCCAGGAAGCAAGGCAGGAAAGCTATGACTTTAGATTCAGTAGATCTTGACACCACCTCAGATGGGACTGTTCCCTAGACGAGGCGACCGCCTTATCTTTTTTTTTTTTTTTTGGGGGGGGGTGTCTATTCTGGACTGACCCCTGGGTTGTTAGCGTCTGCTTCTCTCATTGCTCTCCTAGGCCTCTTTTTATTGGCCTCTTCCTTTCTCTGTCCCCCTGAGGGCATCCACACACCAACTCACTGGAAGGCCCAGCACCTGCCTGTCTTCACCCTTGGAGTCCTACCGGCTTGGCTCAGTCCTGGGGCTAGTGGGGAGAGCTTGGCGCCTTCCCAGAGGCAGGGGAGGAGGGAGGCTGGGAACACAGGCTGGGGCTTGGTGTCGCAATTCCGGGCCGTGCCGGGACCTTTGCTCCGCGAGGTGTCTATGGGAGGAGGGGGGAGGGAACGCTGACTCTGGAGGCTGCTGGGATTAGGGTGGGGGTGACTGAGAAGCAGTCCTTCTGTAAGAGCAAAGAGCCTCCAGGGTGAGGAGAGGAAGGAGAGAGATGGAACTAGGCCCGTCTGCAGGGAAACGCGACAGTCTTGGTAGAGGGTAGGGGACAGGGTGGCGCCGGCTTAGAGGGTGGCCG